CTTGTATCTTTTTTAATTTTAGTTTCTTGTGTATAATTTGGAGTTTAGTATGACGTCCATTATCACTGAACTAGTATACATATTTGTTTAGGGGCCAGCTGAAGGACGCCTCCGGGTGCGGGAGTTTCTCGCTGCATTGAAGACCCATTGGTGGCCTTCGGCTGTTGTCTGCTTATTTGGTCGGGTTGTTGTCTCTTTGACACATTCCCCATTTCCATTCTCAATTTTATTCAACCCGCGCTCGCGCGTTTTTTTTTCTAGTAGTTTAAGAAGAGTAGCAATAACAATGTTTTTGGGAATGGGGGAGATAACTCTTATAAGGTCAATGGTACGCGTTGGTGCCCCTACCACAAGAAAGATTTTATTAACCCGATACCTGGTACATGTACCAAAGATCATTTTGATACATCGCGTACTTTTTTTGACTTTTGACTTTGAAATTTGGCAGAGGAAAAAGAATAATAATAATAATAATAATAATAAAAATAATAATAATACACAGACGAAATACAGTAAGGTCTTTCCATTAAGAAAGGAAAGACCTTAATAAGTTCACATAGCCGAAATTGTCAACTGATTACTTTTAGGAGCCTGAAAGATGATATTTTTCCATTTTTCAGTATTTGCCCAATCTATAATAGATAGTTAGAAACAGTAAAAAGCAAACCTGTTCAGCATAATACGATCTACAAATTCGTCACCATAGTTGAACTGTCAACTATACAAATTTGTGTACATTGGATGTGAGTATGAATTGGCATTACAACAAGGCAGCATACGTACCCATCAGAAAGTTGTTATAAAGTTGGTCTTTTTTAAACTTGAAGGGAGTGTAATACTCTATCTATACTAAAGCAATTTGACACCATTATTTTATACATGCTGTACATCCAAAACGGAGTCTCGGGGATTAAGGAAATTGACATTACTCTACCAGATCTTTTAGTTTTATATTACAGGACACATGCCAAGATACAATGTAAACAAGAACCAACTACAGGAAATTGAATGTGAGCCTGATTACTTCATGCCAGTTCAATTTCCATCCAACAGATACAGAGACAATGGTGTAGAGCATTGTACATATAAAAAGGACAGATGTAATTTCGAAGGAGTGAAAATATGTTCCAATGGTAGCACGACAGATGACAGAACTTGCTACTGTGATTATACAAACCATTACATTCCTGAACTACCAAACCAGGGTGCTTGTTTTAATAGTAGAGACAACATATGCCAGCAGTCGTCAATGTGTACTGCGTTTCACTACCGTAATTTGTATTCTTATTATCAAGAAGTTCTTTATTAAATAATTTAAGGTAAATTCAATGTTCTATTTTGTATTGTGGACAGTTTTTCTAGATCTGTTCGTCATTTATCTGTTGCTGTGGTGTTTTCTGTCTCTCTAATTTATTGATTTTAATTATTCTCTTTGTATTTTTTCTTTTTTAATCCTTTTATAATAATATGTTATCCCATAGTCAATACCTATTTTGTAAAATCTATCTTTGGATAAATATCATAGTCAACGATGTATTCCTCAGCAATACAAGGCAGACGAGTAAAATAATATAACAAAATTAACCTAGAAAACAAATAGGAAACCATAGGCAGGTTAATTTGATTTTCATATAAGAAAAAGAGGATGTAGTATGATTGTCAATGTCAACTGGCCTCCAGATAACAAATGACGTAGAAGTTAGCAACTGTAGGTCAACGTGACTGTTCTAAGTAAATGATTCTGGAATTGCAATGCGTTTATTATAGACTGTGCTTATGCCATTTACAGCTTGTGTGTATGCATTATTTGTACATGTTAGAGTGTACGTAGATACGTACATACGTAAACAAAAGGTAAAGAGGCGATAGATACATTGTTAACAACAAAACTATCCACAGAAGACCAAATTCCTAACACCATGCTTACCTCATGGCCATCAATTATGCGCAAGGACATCAGTTACTTAGGGAAGGCTTACGAAGAACCAAACATTTCAAACAAACAACTGATTTCAACGAATTACACTTAAATAAATTGACACGAATACAACTGCGCTCAAGAAAAGAACGGAATGATCGAGATATATAATGGTAACAATAACCTCAATCAGTATTAAAAAAAAATGATAAAGGTTTCAATTTTAGAGCTGAAGTTCCTCCATTATAAAAACAGTCACTGTATACATAATACAGAAGCAGTACAGTAAGTCTTAGTGTTTAAGTAGAGAAACCCAATAACGGTATAATCATTACATTATACTCAAATCGTTAATTAATAACCGAGTCAATTGATAAGGCTTCACTATGGCCACAGAAATCAACAATTATCAAAATATCCATTTCTTTTTAAAAAATTTAAAAAAATACAAAAAACAGATTTTCCCACAGCCTGGTATGAGAATAAAATAAAATAAGTACATGCTGTAGTCAAGTTTGATGATTCCAGTCACTTATAGTCCAAGGTAGTCATCTGCATATTTTTATTTTAAAAGTTTATAAAATTTGATGAATCCATTAGTATTAAGCAAACAGGCTGTTCAAAGATGATGTATTCAAAATGTTCAACCAATTTTTAATAAATCCCATAGATTATATATTTCTCAGTCGGTAATAGGTCAATCTTTTACAGAATACAATTTCTCAGTCGGTAATAGGTCAATCTTTTACAGAATACAATTTCTCAGTCGGTAATAGGTCAATCTTTTACAGAACACATCCAAACCAAAAACTAATAAATCACAATAATGTTTTTAAAAAAAAAGGCGTAAGATACCGAAGACAAACGGTCAACTCCATGGCAAAAAAGAAAACACTTCAAAAAGACAAACAACAGTATACTAAACACATCGCAGAAAACTATTACTGAGCAACACGACCCCCATTTGGTATCTTTCGCCTCTCTTTTAGTTATGTTATTACTTGTAATTCCAAGGTCCAAATAATGCTCCCTGTCATATCTCCTGCTTAGCTGATCGTTTAAATTATATCATTTACTTTTTTGAAGATTGTAGCAAAAAACGTATTTTTCATATCGTTATTTATTGACAATAACTAATGTAAGTAGTGTAACATGTGTACTGACGTGCTATTCAAATGTAAATTGTGTTTTGCTTGTCAATTTGCCATTTCAAGTTTCTCTCTATATCTATTATAATTTTGAAAATGATAGCTGATATGCACAATTTGATAAAAAAAAAAGACATTCAAGGGTATTCTTACCCAACATAGTTTGTCCATTTTTTTCTGAAAAGTTTCGGGTAGATAGATTCGAACCTGATAATCATTTAATGTAGTTCACCTTAATCTCACTATTTCATTTTTGAGATACAATTTATAAAAAAACGACTTTAACAACGTTGGTCATATTTGTTCTCGAAAGAAATCAAAATGACGGATACTATTTTTTAAAGTAAACAAACAGCACAGTAGATATAGCGTCCGGATGGGATCGTATTTTGTCGAGTGATTTGATCGGGGTTTTTTTCGAGTATGATCACGTTTTTTCGTGAATATGTAAACAACAGACTTCTATATTTTTGTTAAAACGTATAATAAATGTCCGAACCTAATATACTAGATCAAACAAGGTAGTATTAGTGATAAAAGTTATATCAACTCTGCATTATTTTGTTAAATATAAGTTTAGTTAACGTTTAGCCTTACAAAGCCAACATATAAAATAAAACTGTTTTTTATACACAAACCAATATAAATGTCAAAGGAAATACAAATATGGAATCTATATATCTTTTGATATACAAAAGTCTAAATTGAATACAACGTTCAAACCTATGATTGCGTTGGATAAAAACCGCATTTTTATACGTGTTCATGCAAAACAAATTTCTTGATAGAGGGGTCTAAATACATCACAAACAACATTTTCCAAAAGACCAAAAAAGTGAAAAAGTATATTTCAACAAAACGCATTTAACTAACAGGTCGAACAACAGATGTTCTTAAACCCTGCTGACTGCCATTGGCGATTGCCAAATAAACGGATCACAAGATGTTACAAAATGGATCTTTTAAAATTAAAAAATTTAATACCAAACAGAAAACAATAAACTTGCGGAAAAGATGGTATACCGCAAACAAAAGGTGCAAAAATTAGTACACCATATCCGGATTTCGACATTTAATGTCTCTTCGGTGATGTTAGGTATCGAAACGGTATTTGGAAGGCCATATAATTTACCTCAATTTAGGATAGACTCTGAATTTTGAAGAGTCGAAATATTCGAAATAGGATGAACGGATCATATAAACCCGAAGGAAAATATAAAACAAGCCCAACAGACACTTTACAAAAAAAATCGTTATTGTATTGAGAAGGACATTTTTCAAATTGATGTGCCTAAAAATGGGAAATATGAATTGCTGTCTATACATTGCAATGTCATTCCTGGTGTCGTTCGAAGCACTATGCAATCTATCTTGGCGTGCATAAAAATCATACAAAGTCATATGGAATCAGAAATCTTTTCCTATACTTCCAACACTACCCTTTTAAAGTTCGCAGAATATAGGCGGACACAACATATACTAGCATTGCCAATAGCAAAATGTACGGGGGCGAATTAAGTGTGTGTGTGTTCTATTTTTTCTTGGAGTGGGGGAGCGTGTTTGGTCCAGGCCTCTTTTAGTAGAATATTTATTATTGCATTTTTCTGATTTGTTTACTGCTGTCCCTTAGTTTTTACATGTAAGCCCTATTTTTACAACTCGAACTTATGATATATCTTAATACTGCAAGGTTAAGGTAAAATGTTAACAGAACAGAAAATAAGCATTACATTAAAAAAGGGTTAAATTCGATCCACATAGTAAGATGTTGATGTGACATATTGTGAATATATAATATTGTTTCTGACTTGTGAAATACAAGGAAATTGTTGGTCGTTTGTATTTAAACCGTGTATTAAGTATTCAGAATAAGACAACCAGTCATGAATAAAACTACCATACTTGCGAAATAGCAGTAAATCTGTCTGATCGCATGTAATCCTGATCACGCTAAAACAAACACTTGAAAAAACGTGATCTCAGCCGGACACTATACCTACTATGAACAGGAACATTCACACATAATTTGGTTTAAATTCGTTTAATGGTCTAAGATAAGAAATATTAGCAAATGAGGAACCACCCCAATTAATGGCAATAGATAACTCGGAACTTTTAGTCCATCTATACTTTTTTTGTTTTATGCATAGTAATCTTTTAAGTTTTGATACAAATTGTTGACCTCACATTGACTTTACAATGACATTCCTGCCCTAAAGTGACAAACATTTATATCATTTTATTAATTTATCAATATATCAAATACATTTGAACAGATTGAGGAATTTAGCCCTTTTTTGGCAATCCCGGGCACCAAGCACTATCAGTTTAAACTGTATACATTTTGTACAAAAATAAGAATGTGTGTGTTATTTATTTATTTCCATAGGCCAGTGGTTACTCCTACCAAACAAAACGTATTAGATCAACCGGCCAGCGGTAACTCAGGTATAATATTGATATATGTAATTCAGTAATTCAAAGATAGAGCTTCGGCCATTGTCAAGTGAAAAATGTGTAAATGGAAGAAGACAACTTACACTAAATTTACCTATATATCTGTTAAGTAAAAGTTACATTATGGACGTGTTGATTCATCGAAATGATTTTTACGAGGACGCTCAAACTGCCATACATCCGATAACCAAAGAAAAATAATTTTTCTGTCCAAATAATTTCCAGAGAATGTCTGAAGCAGTGAATTAATCCATTTGTCGGATGCATTTTTATTCATATTGTTATTTGGTATTTACGGATTATTCATTAAGAAGGTTAGAACCTGCATATTTCATATGTGTAGGCTAATTTTTACTCGACATACAAAATAACAAACAGGCGACATGATTGTCAATGAAACAACTTGAATCATTAAAACAGAAAGTCCTCAGCTTAATAAGCAAAGATACAAAACAAAGGGAAACAAAATGAGATTTCCAAAGATTTGCTTTTTAAAGGGAAAGAAGCAACTGATTATAACAAAGTACATACACGCAATTATAGCAAAAGACTTCGTCTGCTGCTGTGTTCGGGACAAATGTTTTAGTTTCCTTCTATATTGAAAATATCATTTAAGTAATGGTAAAGACGTGTGGCGTCAACTAAGTGGCATAATGTGTTCCGAAATATAACGGAATGGATCGAAAATTACATCATCGATATTAGTCTTATGATTTATGTTTTATGTAAATACAATAGAAAATTTGCTTGAACGGAAAAATACATATTTTATTTTAGAGGCCACGTGTCATTGCCCTACAGAAAGTCGTTGCATACAGAAAGATGGAAATATTGCAGATTTCATAACATTGCAGTATGTGTTATTAATGATTGACAAAATTGGCTGTACATTGTGCCTATAAATAATATTTCAAACGAGATATTACAGTTCAATTTGTACTGTGATGTTGTTTTGTATACATGTAGCCCGTAAATTTAGATAATATCCATGTTTACTCATCGATCCTTTAAATAAACTTTATCTGAAAGTTTATCACCACCAGTTTTTGGTCGGGTTCATGTTGCTCAGTCCATAGTTTTTTATGTTGTGTTTTTTGTATTGTTGTTTGTCTTTGGGTCTTTTTTGCCATGGCGTTGTAAGTTTATTTTCGATTAAACAGTTTGAATGTCCTTTTTGGTATCTTTTACCTATCTTATTAATTCAACACCGTAGTAAGATCTTTAAATCATGTTTTTATCTGTACTAACACTTATTTTGATTTAAAACTTGCAAAATAACTAAATACGTTTGGTTATACATATATGAATATTTATGATTCTACTTCCTGTCTATATCATGTGTTAATAGTTTGGCATTGCACTAAGTCATGCTTTTCTATGAGTGCTTCTGGCGTATTAACACTAAATTCATTGGATAAATTCCGACCGAATTTATTGATTAGTTGTAAATGGCTTTGAACTAGTTTTCAAATACTTCGAGTTTTCTTCGAACGACACTTTTTTCTTTCTTTCTGCTCGTTGTTTTAATGCCTCGTGCCAGATTAGCCTAGCAATTTTCAACTGATTATAATCATGTGTTCCTATGTTATACTGATACATCACTATCCAATGTATTGGGAGGGTTGAGCGCTCATTTTTTTTAACTCCGGCACATTTGCTATGTACTTGGCCCAAATTAAATGAGGAGCCTGTAATTGAGAGGTTGTCTTTGGTTGCTGTGTGTCATGTTTATTTTTCATTTATTATCTTGTATTAAAATCGGGAAGTTGGTTTCTCGTTTGAGTGTCTGACATATAGTCAATTCAGGGCCTTTTATAGCTGTCTATACGGTATTGGTTTTGATCACTGTTGAAGGCCGTGTGTTGACCTATGATTGCTTGCTTCAACGCCATTTGCAATCATATGATATAGATTTTTCATTGGCAATCATGACAGTACTGTCCAAGAACATTTTTTTTACAGTTCTAATAGAGATTATTCTGACAGTTCTGAAAAGATAGAATTGATCTTAATACTGTGATGATGTGTCTTTTGTTTTGAAAAACGTCGCAATTTTAAAGGTAAAAATACAAATAAAGTTTGTGTTAAACAGATATTTGCTGTCTTATTGCACTGCTCACAAATAATAACATCATAACAGTTTTTAATCATGATACATGAATGTCCCTTTGCTATCTTTTGCCTCTCTCATATAGCTTTGGTGTTTGTTAGCGTTTGTACTGTTTGATCCTGTAGTATTGTGTTTACTACTATTATTTCTTTATTTGTCTTTGATCTTTGTGGCATGATTTGTCTGGTTTTTTTCGACTAATTGTTTTTGATCGTTCCTTTGGTTTCGATCTCCCTTTTTAAGCGAGTTGCGCAATGTACAAATACCGGTTATACAATTGTGAGGTTTCAGTAGGTACCAACCTTATTTGTGCAATCAATTCCTTCCCATAGTTTTCAACCCTGATCTCGCATTCTTCATAGAAAGATGACACATCCACAGAAGTTGTACACCTTCTACTGTGGAATTATTTGAGGAAATTTTCATTTTTTGGAAGATTATGGAGAAAAGTCTTTTTCTTCAACAAAATTTATAAAAGATGCAAATTCTTGAATATTCACAAAAGTCTTGTATACACTTTGAAGTTTTGAACCTGTCGTTATGATATTCAGTGGGGAATTTTTACTATTTCTTCAGACTTAGTCATGTTTTCGTAAATTGTCTCAAGACGTTTCCAATGGTGTTGTTAACTCCTACAGTTTTCAACCCAGATCTATGAGACATGTTTACAGAAACTTTGCAAACTTATATAATACTTGTCGCTCTTATTATTGTTTTCCCCCCTCCCCAAACATTCTTAACATTTTAATGCGCATAAATGTGCATGCAAATGAATTACCTGTTAAATAATTCATATTGAAATAGCTTCCTTATCGTTAGATATTTGTATGCACCCCCCCCCCCCCCCCCCCCCCAACCTTTTTTTTTTTTTTTTTACAATGCAAAGGGGGCATTAAGTGGAACTTTGACCATCCGTTCTTCTGTCTTTTCGTTTTTCCGTCTTCCTTACTTCCGTCTTTTCGTTTTTCCATCCTTCAATGCCATTTTTTCGTTTGAAAAGCAAGCTTGAACGGGGGCATTCATGTTCTCAGACACATTCTTTTATTTTCATTTGCATATGTCATTATAGGAAAATAATAATTTTGCAATTACATGATAAATATCAGCGTTTGTCTTTCTATCAAATAATAATATTTTCAATATATGCTTCACAATATAATAGCTGGTTTTTTTTCTTAGATCAGAGGTAACATCGACTACATTGCAGGACGTATCAGATAAAATAAACATCGGAATTTCAGGTATTGGTATTCATAATTCAAAGTAGGGCGCTTTGGTAATTGGGAGGTTTGACAAATATAAAATTGTTATTAATTACTGTATGAAATTATCATTTCAATGTCAGCGTTCTCAAGATTCTAATTGGTGGAGATGTCATTTACGTGGATGTTGAGAGATCAGAAGTTGATTATCTGTATTCAAGAACTTATTGATGGTTTTAGTAATACCATAAACATTTCTTATATACGTATGGATAAGTCGTTTATACTAAACACATTTAGGTTCTTTTAACATGGTAACATATTCACTCGGAGTTCGGTATTTTTTTTTTTATTTTACCATAGATGTCTGCTTTGGCACTACTTTGTCGACAATATTTGGTTTTCACTGCTGTTGAACTTCATTATTGATTTAACATTCAACTGGTTTCAATCGAGTACTACTGACAGCTGCATGACTACTGATGAGTCATGTGTAGACGAAACAGGCTTCTTGCGTGCAATAATATAAGCATGGTATCTTTGATAAATTTTTACGTATATCATTCTGGAAAATATTTTTTTTCTATCTAAATACAGAACTTATTTTTTCTTCAGTTTATGATATGTTATTAACACGTAAAGAACTAAATGATTTTTTTCCTTACAAAAGTTTGTTTCGTAAACAGACGTTCGATATTGTATTCGATATATTGCTTATATATATCAATAACTTCTTAGTGACAAGTAAAAATATATAACATTTATCAATCTTTCAATTTCAAGACGAGTTGTCACATTTGATTAGCATTTTCTTTTTTTCTTTTTTCTTTTTGAAAATACATATTTGGCGTTAGAACATGTAGAAAATGCTCATCAAATTTGGCAACTCGTCTTGAAGTTGATAGTGGTCTACAAACTAAAGATATCAATCCCCTCCTAAAGGAATCATTTGAAATCTGAAAGATATTAAATGCAAAATATGTATACATATGTCAAAGATATTATCCCTCAGGAGACGAATGATTCTGAAAAGATGTCTTCAACCAAAACTTTTAAGCAAGTCCTAAACCTCTGAAACATGTATTTTAAGTAGGAATTTCTAATCACGATAAAAAACCTTATAAAAATAATATTGAAAACCCACGTGCACAACATAAACTTTTTCTCTAAAAGGATCCCAAAAAAGATACTGGTACCGAGTTTTACTTATCACATTCAAACTTTGAATTTAGCAAACTTATTACGAACATTGGAATATGTGAGCATACTATATTAATCTTGAACCTGAATTGGGTAGATATAAAAAAAAATACCTCGAAATCTCAGACTGTAATGTTTGCTCTATTAGAGATATAGATGGTAAATTTCATTTTTTCTTCCATTGAGAAAGAAATAAAAACGAAAGAAACAGCTACATTTCTGAAATTGTTTCTTAAAATACCGACTTTATAAGTTTTACCTATAAAAAACCTACAATATATACATTTGCAATCCAAAACATTTTCAACAGGTTCAAAGTCTAAGGTTCCTTTTTAAAACCGTCAATGGAACTGAGGACAAGGGACTCTTGATTAACTTATTGTTTTCAAATTTGTTGTATATATGCTTTTATTTGTATTTTGTGTCTCACAAGCTGTACTTATATGCCTAAAACTATAAAGACTATAGCATACATTTATAAAAAAATCTGCTTACCATTAAAACAATTAGGTGTGAAACTATGACTTCCCTACAAACGCCTGTCAAGTAAACAACTTGTATAATGTGTCTGCTGCAAATTTAAAAACAACGCTATCATTTTCAAATTTATTAGGTAATTAAAAGTAAATAGCATAATTTAAACTGATCGGCTTAACTGGTGTTTTTAATCTTTTCTTCTATTTACAGGAGATAACAACAAAATTAACATTGAGCGGTTAATTCTGATTGTCTCGTTAAGTTTGTGTGCAATTCAGTTTTCAGTTATATGTTATTGTTTAGCTGTAAAGAAACTTGTGGAGAGGAAGAACACAATACGCGCTGTAAGCTTTCATGGCCAATCAAATACCAGTTATCCTGTTGGTACAGGAGATCATTACGAAGAAATCGACATAGAATTGGAAATAAGCAGTAATATCATTACCCACAATACACCAGTGAGAAGAAGCCCAATACAAATAGAATCGATGCGAGATTCACCAGGTCATATGATACCCATAACACAAGACAGAAGTATCAAAGGTACAATAGCAGAGGCACTTGGAGATTATACAGTCTCAGCTGATGAAAATTCTTCTTCAGATGGGAACAGGAGCAGTAATGACTTAAATTATGAATCAGGATACTTAAATCCGTATCAACCACTTCAAACAAATGAGTCAAATACAGCAGAGCACCCATACAATGAAACAACAAATGACAAATTGTCAAGGAAAAGTGTTGATGTTAAATCGGGTCAATCGACAGCTTCTTATATTTGTCCATTATACGACCATTCTCACAGGGAAATAACTACAGACGAAACTGCAACGAAGATGCCTTATACCGATATCATTGAAAGGTCAAATGAACCTGAATTCTACCAATCTCTTGATCGTAGAACTTCACCATCGCATAAACACCCATCTCTAGACATAAAACAAGACGAAAGCTCTTAAACAAACCCTTGATAATTATGGATCCGATGATATAAATTCTTGCTAAATAGTGGATTATTTTATTGCACCGGACATACAGAGTTTAGAATATAAAAGGCAACTCAAATTTGATCAAAGCTTAAATTGCTTCACGATTTGAAATATATATATTTTACGAATTCAAAACTTTTTAACAGGCGGTATTGAAATTTAATAGTATTTTTAATACTTAGCTCTTGTGATTGCGAAAGTGCCGTAAAATGTTGCAAATTGTTGGTTTAAAAATCAAACAGTGAGACGTTAGAATGTTTTAAAACAATTGCTACAAATATTGTACAGATTATTAAAACATTTGACTTTTCTTCACTTTACACAAGTATTCCCCATTCCAAACTCAAAAACAAATTGAAAGAGTTGGTATGGGTTTGTTTCATAAAAAATAATGGCAAACGTAGATACAAGTACCTTGTCTTAGGAAGGGATAAATCCAACTTTGTAAAAAATCACTCTGATTCAAACAAAAAATTCTCTTAAACTGACATTTTCAAGATGCTTGATTTCTTGATTGTCAACATATTTGTTACATTTGGAGGACGTGTTTTTCAACAAACAAGCGGCATCCCCATGGGAAAAAACTGTGCCCTTCTTTTTGCCGACTTGGTCCTTTATTCTTATGAGGCTGACTTCATACAGGAACTTCTTAGGAAGAAAAAAAAAAAGAAGTTAGCAGCATCCTTTAACTTTATGTTCCGCTATATTGTTGATGTTCTCTCACTAAATAATTCAAAATTTGGTGACTATGCTGAACGCATCTTTCCCATCGTACTTGAGATAAAAGATACAACAGATACAGTTAAGTCTGCCTCATATCTTGACTCACATCTAGAAATTGACAATGAGGGTCGGTTGAAAAGAAAACTTTTAGACAAAAGAGATGATATCAGCTTCTTACTTATGAACTTTCTTTTTCTATGTAGCAACATTCCAGCAACGCCTGCATACGGAGTATATATCTCCCAATTGATGCGATATTCCCGGGCTTTTATTTCTAATATGATTTTTTTATAGAGGGTTGCTGCTCACTAGGAAGCTATTAAACCAAGAGTTATAATGGTGAAGTTGAAATCATCCCTTCGTAAATTGTACGGACGCCATCACGAGTTGGTTGACCGTTATGGAAAATCCGTTTCGCAGATGATAGCGGAAATGTTCCTAATGTCGTAACTACAATCCCGTCCCCTTTTCACGAATGTGACCGACCGGGTTTGTACTAACATGAGCAACACGACGGGTGTCACATGTGGAGCAGGATCTGCCTACCCTTCCGGAGCACCTGGGATCACCCCCAGTTTTTGGTGGGGTTCGTGTTGCTTAGTCTTTAGTTTTCTATGTTGTGTTCTGTTTACTTTTGTTTGTATTTTTCTTTTTTAGCCATGGTGTTGTCAGTTTATTTTCGACTTATGAGTTTGAATGTCCCTCTGGTATCTTTCGCCCCTCTTTTACACTTTATCATTCCGAAAAGGTATTAAAACACAAAAAATAAGAGCTTGAACATGTTGGTCACTTTTGTTTTGTACTTAAATATCATTTTTTAGTTGGGGTTCGTGTTGCTCAGTCTTTAGTTTTCTGTGTTGTGTTTGTGTACAGTAACTGTCCGTTTGTCTTTTATCTTGAAAATCATAAAAGACACATACAATTATATTGCAAGATCTGTATATCCTCTTATTCCTCCAAAATTATCATACGCGTTTTTATAGAATAACTATAGCTTTATTGACGATGTTTGATAAATTTTAGCTTTAACATATTACTGATTAACTATAGTATTTAGATAGAAACTATCTAAATTTTCAGCCATACAAGATCTACAAAAAGGTATACCGTGAACTCACCAATTGTCACCTTCTAAGAGTTTCTGTTATTTAACGATGATTCCTTTATCATTTTTTTTGTGCATTTGTGTCTGTTATTTAGAAATTTCTAATAGATAATTTAATAAAACAGAAACTGTAAACAACAGAAAAGATCAGCAAAACAAAATCTACAAGTAAATCAACAAAAGATGATTTTTTTTATCAATTTTAAATTTTCGCTTATTGAAACATATAATGTAAATTTACGGTTTGGACTCGATTTCACGGTTCACAGAGCATGGAAATATGATAGGACAAGCGGTGTCATACATGTATAGACATATATTCTTGTTTTGAAAACTATTTTAGGTGAGCATAAACTGTAAACGTAAAATTGATCAGAAATACTTGAACTCTATATATACCAAATGGTACGTACGATATCAACGGACTCCTGATAGAGGTTTCTCAACATCTTACGAACGGACGAAAATCGCCTTAACTTGACGTAACTTGCCGTAACGAGAAAAGAGGGAGCACTCATTTATTGAATGATTTTGGACTATCGGATGTGCACTTCCTTTCATTAAGATATGCATGCAGGGTTCTTTTAAACCATTTTGAGTTGTGGACATATTATTATATTGAATGCGAGTTCTCTCTGATGTGTACTTAGTGACTTAGTGTCCTTTTTTGTTGAGATTGGAGGGGCAATGAACATTTTTGAAATTTATCTAGGCTCAGATCAAAGGTAAAAAGTCCTGCCCATAAAAGAGGTAAATTTAATCTAGGAGTGAACGACTCTAGAAAAAAAATCGGTTTTTAATTTGAAAAAAAAAATCCTTGGGTCCGAGATAACTTTGTTGTCTCAAAGCTATAAAATCCAAATGGTCAGTTCTTCACCTTACATCGTTATTATTGAACTATTTTCTACCTAAATTGGCAAGAAAATGAATAAAGGGAAATACTGAAATAAATATTTGAGAAAAAAAGTTCACTTGAAAAGATATTCTGTAATGTATTGTTGATTTTTGTTTTATTTTCAAGGCCTATCGTATCCTTTTTGTCTATGTTTTTATTATCGTACACTTATCAGTATATTAGTATAATTTAAGTTGTTTCAAAGTACATTTTGATATGTATATTACAATTAGTTATGTTGGTGCTGTAGCACTTACACTTTCCATTAGAATACACACAACTATACTTATTATATATTACTTACAATATAACTGACTCCCCCAAAAAACTTTTAAAATACATATAAATAAATAGCGGTTTTAACGACATATATATCAAAGATACATAAAAAATACCGCCTTTTCTTGTTGTTAGGAGTGGTTCCCAATATTTATTATTGAATACTATCGAATAAATGTGGAGATAAATGAAGAAATTAAACTGTTTTAAACCACATCTTATCTCTTTATGCGTTTTTATTCAATATGTATATATATATTTATCGAAGTTGTTTTACACTTATACATGTATTAATATTAATCAGAGTATATGAAAAATGGGTTATGGTTAACGAGTTTTTGTGTTAGACGTTTTTTGCCACCTTTGATTTGTTTATGAAGTGACCAAATTTCATTCCTCTGTGACTTTCAAAATTCAATCTTTATTATTTGTCAACAATTATTAAGGATAAGAAAAGATTAGTCTACTTTGTTTGAACTATAAGAACTAGCTAAGGCCATATGCACTGCTGATATATTAGCCTGTGTGGCCTATAAATCCACGCAAAACATCTCTATAATACAGTGATCTGCCGGTCTCACGCAGATATAGAGTTGTGGTTTTAAAAGTCCAGCGCGCTGGGGTGTGAAGTCTAGCGCTGTAGATCTAAAGTCGAGCGCTAGAGATGTTAAAGTCATATGAAACGAGTGACTGGTGAAAAATTATGTTTATCCAATTCTTGAACCAATGCATGTATATATCATAAACTTAGTCTTCTGTACACGATTTTATCATTTTTTACGCAAACATATCGTATAATCGTCAATTTTTTTTTCTCTCTGTCTGTTATGATGTGAAAATATGGCAGCTACTTAATTGTCGTGTTTTGAAGCCGTAGTTTACCGATTGTCACCTTATAGTAAACAATCAACAAAGAAGCATGGATATTGAGCACATGTTTACCATGTACAATCAGATAATAGTTCATTTTAATGACAGATCCATGCGTATTGCGATCACCGGTATTTTACGAGGAGGGTCACGATAAGGTCACTTACATATGGAAAACATGTCGGCGAATTGCTTCCTGGAAGCAAGCAATTAAAAAAAAGTAAACTTCTTCTATATGTGGACAATTTTAAAAAAATTCTTCAGAAAAAAGTATATGTACACAAGTTTTATAATGAAAACTATCAATTTAGTTATAAAAAAACATATGCATCATTTTTTTTTTAATTTGAGGTTTCATATGACTTTAAGTCCAGAGTTGGAGATTTAAATATAAAGGTTGTGTCATCTCAACCACTATTCAATCCTTTATCAGATGTTAATATCGTCGTGAAATGCATGGAATACTCGCCACTGAACGTTTTATAAAAAAACATCCAACAATCATTCAGTCAAATGCAAACCAAATGCGCAGATTTTTTTTTAACAACGACTATCAAAAACATTGTTCTTTTTAAATGGATAAGGGAGATAAATCGAACGTATATTCGACATGTAAATAAACGAAACTCAACGTAAGGTTACGCAACATTCAACAACACAAAACCAATTGGAACACTAATGTTTAACCACAACAATAAATTACAAGGTTGCAAAATGAATATTAAATTGTGTACTGTTGTCTTTAAACACGCTGCAATATGGGTAGAAAATTTTACTGCATAAAATTACAGCTCCCTAACGATACGTTCGTCGAGTTTCGTCTGTTCGTAAGATGTTGAGAAACCTCTGATAGGAGTATTTCGCCTTATTCGTACAAGTCTGCCTTATATAGCGATTTTTGACATATCGAATGGTTTTCGCCTATCATCTTGAAAACTGTTGTAAACAGACACTATAAAAGCTAAAATCATGATCAATACAAGATCAACTAAAATATCTACAGACATAATCTATGCTTCAATTGACCTTAAATAAGAGATTTCTGACCGTTTGAAACATTTTTGCCTCTAGTCTTATAAAGAATCAATAAGTATACAGATAACAGAAGGCAGAAACAACAACAACAACAATTGATTGTTCTTTCAGTTATTGCCTTAAACATACATTTTAGAATATTGTTTGCATTTCGTTTCAAAGATCTTCACCACTAAAAATTGCTTTGTTCCATAGGCCAAATTACGGGTAAATCAACAGAGCTACAATACTAACAAACACTAGATGATAATCTTTATAATATCTAAGAAGATATGTTATGATTGCCAATGAGACATGTATCCATATACCAAACGACAAAGATGTGAACAATAA